TAAAAAAGTAATGAACAAGGCACTCAAACAATACTTTTGCATATGTTCGTTAAGGCACAGCAAACTGTGAAAAGCGTATACTAAAGGCATCAGCAAACCCAGCAATCCGGCGTCTCCTCGTCAGGTCAGACTCTCCCTGCTCTGTCCATTTCGGTAACCCCAAAAACTGTATTCCATTGTTCCTATGTTTTCCATATGTATCGCGTGAGTTACTGGAGGAGTTTTTAACGCAGCAGTGACTTCCAGGCATGGTAAAACAGTGCGGTATTGCGAGAAACTCCTCTACTACCGAGCTAAAAACACACGTAGTCAATACTGTTTTGCCGTGGGAATCCTACCAACATGGCGGAAAGGGGAGGGGCTCTTTACAATGACGTCAACTCCTCATTCTCAATAGGCTTCTTGAGGGAATGACTCTTGCTGTCCTCGAAAAGTCATTAAAGACATCGTTAAAATAGTCCAAGTGACTAAAGTGGCTCAATCTTAAGTTTATCAAACGACGAGAACACTTTTTGTGCGCAAAAACAACAAAAATAACGACTTTATTTCAACTATTCGTTTATTTCTCCCTCTGCGCGAGTCAGGTTACTAGTTTAATAAAGCTCAATCAGTAGTTCTGGAGCTCATAATTAAAGCACTGTCAGGTCTGAAGAGAACCCAGTCAGATGAGTTTGTGGAAAAACCTTTTACAGTGCGTGTATATTGTTGTCTATCAATGCATTTGATAATTCTCATAAAGTAGAACTGAAATGACATTCATTACAAGATGATCAGCCAAAACATTTCAAAATGCACCAGCAGGCTATTTTTTCAGTCATGAATTTTGTCATTAAGGATTTCAATACATGTCTCGTCACACGCCTAACAAACACGTGGCAGTAATCAGAACATGATGAGTCCAGGCAGATGCTTATGGGAATTTAGTTCCTGAAGTGGTAAAGAGGACAGAAGAGTGCCCTCTGCTGGAGATCATGAGTTCTGACCAGTTTTGATCCCTTTGTTTTGTTATGTGAAATATTCAGCGCATTACTGAACTCAGCAGAACACTTGACCAATTAAGGGTAAATACTTAATGCCAAAAATTGTGTCATTATTTTCTCACCATCATATAATTTTATACCCTTAAGGTTGGTGCTTTTTCAAGGTTTTTGTCCCTCCACTGAAATGGTACGTAACCAAAACTTTGAAGATCTAAAAGGTCATAACGGTATTGTAAAATGAATCAAGCGGTTTAATCAAGGCTTGTAAAAAAAGTGATTATGTGAAAATGTTATCTCATCTCGGCAACTCGTGCATTAAAATATTCTTCAGGCACCCAGTGGAAAATACCACATGACGGGTCTTAGCACATGAACACATGAACGCAGCATTATACCCTCAGTTTCCTCTGTTCATTGATCTGTGTCGTCTTTGTATTATGAGGTTGTGTTATACTTTATTCCTGGTAATCTTCTGCATGTTTCCTTTGTGAGTTAATTATTAATGACTGCTTCTATTTATTCTCCATCGTTTTGAGATCATTACAGCCTCCAGCTGTGACAGTGATACGATCACACTGATTTAATTAAGGCTTTTATTCACATATGAGCACAATATATTTAGTGTACTAAACAAGAAAGCTAGAACAAACCATTGCTTTTCCTGGATCATGTGACACGTTTGAGCTTCTGCTCTATGATACATATACATATGAAGAGTTCAGATGCAAAAACCTCTAAATGCCATTTGAAATTTTCTTCTTTAATGATGATTTTTTTTATCAAACTTGTATATTTAAGATCAGTAATTTCACTTAAATAACAATTAATAGGTAATTATCATTGCCATTTTAAGTGAAATCACTGAACTTAAATATACAAGCTTGATAAAAATGATCATTCTAGAAGAAAATTTCAAATGGCACATAGAGGCTTTTGCATCTGAACTCTTCATATATTAAAATTAGTCAACTAAGTATTCAAATAAGAGTGAGCAAATGAATAGCTTATGGATTATTATCATAAGTATCACATGTCTAGAAATTGTGTTGAAATGCTGTGAATTTCTTTATTCGAACATGTTTTGCCTCAAACTGTAAAAATGAAGTTTCCATTAAATAAGATACTACTTAATAATGAAAAACATAATATGCATTTTTATATGCAAATAACATTTAGAAACCGTTTTTGAAAATAATTATCAATAAAATAAATACTGTTACAAATAACAAGAAATGGAATATAAAAAAGTGGTAACTTAATATTTTTCAACTATATAATATTTAATCAGTAACTTCTCATTAATAAGTGAATGCACAAAAGTTTTCATCAATATTCGTGAGAATACATTTTTATATTAGTATATTAAATATATATTAGGGCTGTGCAAAAATTAATTGCGATTAATCGCATCCAAAATAAAAGTCTGTGTTTACATAATATATTTGTGTGTGCTGTATATAATTATTTTGTATATATAAATTACACACACATGCATGTATATATTTAAGAAAATGTGTTATTCATATATGAAATATTTATATTTATATAATATGGATTATGTATTTATTAATATATACAGAATTTAAGCGCAAATAATTCTTAAATATATACATGCATGCATAGGTATTTATATATACAAAATAATTATAATTAATCGCAATTAACTTTTGCACAGCCCTAATATATATATGAACACATACTTCTGTATATGAGGATTACCAGTATGAACTCCATTGACTTCAATGGATTTAATTCAGTTGAAAATTTAAACTTATAACTCACAACTGCACAAAAATGAATGAAACAGACATATTCTTTTTTAACTCCAAAACAACATCAATATTACAATACAAAATACATGTTTTGTATTATAATAATTTAAGGAAAATATATGATATCCGGTCTCGCGATGTAACGAATTGCTTTATGGCAAACTTTTACTTTCATATGAACAAAATGATGATGATAATAAACAGCTTGAATCTTCGTTTCATGCTACAGTGGGGGGGGGACATGCCCGCATAGGAAGTTATGCCCGTGGGTAGGACATCATCCCCAGGCTTTATGAACCCGCGCTCCATGCTTTCACCGACGACGCTAACATGACGTATGGATCTCTATCACTCTGTGTCGCCAGGACCCGCCCTCCTCTGCTTCTGATAGGCTTGTAACGTGTTAGAGCTGCGATCCTCTCATATGATTGGTAGGTGGAATCAATTGACTCGAAAATATTAAACCGGTCTTCAAACAGAAGAATTCTTTACATCCATGTCTGCTTTCTTGCTTGCCGTCCATGTTTGATCTATACACCTGTGCAGGGCAGTGCACAGACATTTTGAGGGACAGAAAAGGGGCACTAAGGGGGTGGTTGTTTGTTAACACAAATTATTCAGTTATTACAACATATACAATAAAAGAGAAGACAACACACACTCAAATACATTTTAGAGTTTATTGTAGATGTTTTGATAGAACATTATAATTACACACTGGCTGCTGATAAAACATTTTGGTATTTACCATTCTCTTTACAGCAAAACCTTTCTATTTGGTACCATGTCCTGAAAAATATCTTAATAATCTCTTCTTTTATGATTGGGATGTCTTTTTCAATGGCCAGAAGCAGAAGATCAGAGAGTCGTTCTTGTCCACACACATTACGAAGTGTAGTTTTCACCAGCTTCAACTTCGAGAACGAGCGTTCAACAGTGGCTGGTGAGACAGGTAGTGTTGCAGAGATTTTCAGCAGCTTAAAAAGTGTTGGAAACAACATGAGCATCAAACTCCTTAAATGTTTCCAAAATTGCATGGGCACTTGAATGAAGAGTGGAAAACTCTAAGCTCAGTCAGCAGCTGTTCTTCGTCCTCTTGAATTCTGTGAAACTCACAGAGAGTATGGGCAGCATTGAGTGCTTCAGCATCTGCAGTGTCTTTCCACTTTGATGGCTCAATCAATCAATGCAGTGACATCACAGTTCTGTCAGTGTTCCCCTTCCCTTGAAATCGCCTGTGGAGTTCCTGAATCAGGGAATCAGTACATCCTCTAAAGTCTGTGGCTGATGTGGAGCAGTACTTACATTTTATTGGTACTTTTCGCCGCCTTGCTTGTCCTGGAATCTCTTCAGGCACATTGATCCCTCTTGTCTCTGCTTGAATGGTAGCATTGTGAAATATTTCTTTGAATTTCTCTTCAGTCCTCAGTGTGTTCATGAGTGTGTTTGAGTGCTCAAATGAATAAGCGCGACGATTCAGGCAGCAAATCTGCTTTCTTCGTCCCCCTGTCTCTGTCCTGCGCTGTGCTCACTCAGTGTGTGTGTGTGTGTGTGTGTGTGTGTGTGAGGGGGAGTGGCCAGCGGATAGAGCGGCAAAAGCCAATGTGTGCTTCTTTTAGCGATATGTTTAGCGATATCTTTTGCATTTCTAATCCAAACAACGTCAAACTCGGCACTGCACTTACCCGTGCCCGTAGAAAGACACTTGTCAAGTTTGAGATCCAATGGTTCGAGAGATATGCGATTAACAGACAGACAGACATTCCTGTAATTAATAGATAGATGGACAAAATAAGCTCACATAACTTACATTTGAACACGACCGGAGCCAAAAGAAAATCAGCTTTCATTTCTGCTCTGACAAGACCAGCCAAACGTTTAATGTATTATTTGCAGATATATCCATTATCTCCAAAGTCATCTCAATAGGAACATATTCAGAGGCTCATGGGTACTGTAGTATTTCGTGCCATTAGACAGAGAATCAACAGAATTTTTTTCCCCCCAAAATTAAACTGAAATATTTATAATAAAAGTTATAATATATTTATAATAAAAATAATAAAAGTGACTGTCAAACATATAGGCAACGGTTTCCACCGCTTAATTTACATAACTGCATAACAATTACACAATTTTCTCATAGATATGATTTTCAACAGCCTCGCAGTGACTGAACAAATTCACAAGTCATTATTATTAGAACTTAAGAAATTATTGAAGTCATTATTATGAATTTATTAAGTCGTTATTATGAAGTCATTGTTGATCATAATTATGGCATTGTTTCTTTTACTTATGAGATATAAAGTCATAATTATGAGATATGTTCTCATTATTCTGAAAACATTTTTCTCCAAGGGGCAGAGCTGTGGTCAGGACCAAAACATAATTTTAAGCAATTTAACTTATTCACACATACGTGTATTACTTATTCATTTACCTATTCATAATTTTATCATCTATTTTGTAAGTATAACATATCAACTTAATATAAAATGTCCTGACAATCCTCTAAAATCTAGATTGTTGTTGTTCCAATGCAAAGCCCTTTTCTGCAAGTTCTGTGACTGCCAGTAGAGGGTGCTGTGGAGTAGTCATGTCTCTCTCTCTCTCTCTCTCTCTGTAGGTGATTCCTCTGTTTGCCGTAGAGTGTCTCCGCAGGCATAATGCACCTAATAATGTGGAGATGAAGCGATCACCCCCACACACGAAAACCAATGATTAGACACAGCACACACTTCAACATCCCTCTGTTGGATTTCTGCAAATAACAATAACATTTATATTTCTTACTGCAGTAGAATGAAATGTTTTCATGCTTTATATCTTTATTCTAATCTTTATTCTTACTAATAATCATGATACTGGTGCAAATAGACTATGATTTATCTTCTTGTAAAAATTTTTGTGTGGAAAATGTAATGAAAATAAATAGTTTGGTCAATCTTCTGTATCATTTGGTTATTTCAGAAGGAAAAGTTTTAAAGGTCAAAGTGCACAACAAATGAAGTTTTGTCTCCTAAAAGAAAGGATCGCCGTAACGAGTCGTCAGTTTCACTTCCTGATTGAACATTTACAGTGTAACATGTGATCTCCATTGTCTGCCGGCGAACGACGTCTGCTGTCTGTGACCCTTGAACACTGTAGGTTTCTCTGAGACTGGAGTTTCATGCTGTTCTTCATGTTATTTCTGCTCTGGATGTGCTACAAAAGATGAGTTTTCAGAAAGATGAAATGTTTCAGACACTTGCTGCAAGCAGTCGACCAATCACAACACACTGGGCCATCTGACCAATCAGAGCAGAGCAGGCTCGTGGAAAGAAGGGGTTTACAGAGACTGTCCGAAATCTCCACTCACCACTACTCCCTACCCCCTATGTAGTAGTGTTAGTGACCATCGGTTGTACACTGGGGAAATGCATTCTGGGATACATTGAGTGGACTATTTAGGGTATAATAATCATCACTATACATTCGGACAGCACTACAAAATGGCGAGCCCACTATATAGTGAGTTGTGGGAGATTTCGGACTGTGGGAGATTACGTTGATTTATTCTTTAGAAACAAATCCATTATTATTTGCTTTTCGCTGAGTTTTGTGTTTAACATTTGAACTTTTCCATTAGCTTGACATGTTTTATACGTGTGTATGACGCGCCTGAAGACCTCGTGAATTGGTCCTGTTTTCATTCCTCGTTTCATTGCGATGCTAAAAATGGAATTGGATCCTTTCGATATAAATCTAGAAAGCTGTTCTTTTATTTCTAGCCAACATTGTATTACAGTCTCACAACTTTAAAAATATACAATTTTAGAGCATTTAGAACATTTACAAAGAAAAAAATCTAACAGCAAACATTATTCGAGAAACCACAACAACAATAAATCAGAGAAAAATAAAGTGATAGAGTGTGCTTAATCAAGAGTAGATATACCCGTATCTGAGTTCAAAACACTAGATTTCCCCCACAAATCCCCACAGGCCTTTTCTGCTGTGTCGTTAGCACCATCGGCCCAGGGTCGTGTGTGAGTTTGGTTGCAGTCCATCATTAGTGTCTCTTCCCTGGGTAAGAACAGGCTGGACTGTGTAATGCTAAAGTGAACTAGCATACTGACCCCACACTGACTCACATTCAGCTCGCCTGCTGGACTGAAGGTACAAACGCAGTTCATAAGCATCAAACAAGACTGCATTACCAAAATAACAGTAGACTATTTCACAAACACTTGTGATGATATATTCTCATATAATTGTGTACTTTGTCTTTTTTTCCATCCCGTAGCATTGGTTTGTTATAATACCGACGGAAACAACATACCCTGCAGAAAGAGGCTTGAGATTAGCATGACTAAAAGGTGCGTGGCATCACAAGTAAGTGATTGTTTGATTGTCTCATTGTGCATTTTGGGATTGGCTAGCATATGTTGTTCTACATTCTGAAATCACGTTTAATAGGAGAGGACGATTTACTAGCTGTTACTAGCTGTTGATCATTTGCTAAACCTTCCCGCGGAGTGAAGTCGCCTGGAAACATCACTGCCGTCTCTCGAGCTTCGAGCCTTGAGGTAAATGGGTGCTAGTCTTGCTTCCAGGCGGCAGGTCGGGTGCGGACCAGCGTCTCTTGCGTGTGCGCGGTGGCTCTGAAGGCTGCGGCGGTGGCGCTGGGACGGGCGCGCGGGGCGGGGGCATCTCCGGAGCGGGTGTGGGAGTCAGAGCCAGACACACGTCCCCGGCGCTGAGCTGGCGGCACTGCAGCCCGTACAGCTGCGCGCTCCGCTGGGGACTGCAGGAAGACCAGCCGCGCTCCCGCACGAAGAACGGATACTCCGCTAACACTGTGAGGAGCTCCTGCCGGAAACAAGAGAGCACACTTCAGTGAGAGGACAACACTTCACAGACAAACACACCTGAAGAAAACGAGACGCCATTTCACACAGAGAGAAATACAAATCATAACCCTTTGTTAGAAAACATCATTTGTTGTTACTCCGGCGCAAAATGAACCTTTGGTCTAATTACACATTGTTACCCAGTCAACCGTTATCTGAGATTTGTTTTCATGATTGCCGAATGTAAATAGTTTTATCTATAAAAACAGTTTAGCCTATACCACTATATTACCACTAACCAGGCTCAAAATGGTCCCACACTAACACTGTAGCATAATAAGGGTCCCTACATTCAAACCGAATCATTGAGAACTTTGTCAGTGTCCATACAGTTTAATAAGAAGATATTTTATACACACAGTCAACTTCGCGAATACAGGAAGAAGCCATCTTTGAAAAATAGTCTCGACCAGTCGATCTACGAACACCGATTCAAGTGCGCTGGTGAGATGTGAATAAGGTGATAAGGTGAGCGCGAACAGTAGGCTACGTGTACATTAGGGGTGCACGATTCAGAAAATGTCACCGATTTTTTGTCTCAAAATTCGATTCAAAATCGATTTTCGATTCAAAAACGATTCTCGATTCAAAAAACGATTCGCAGGTCTATATAAATGTAGTTTACTTTTTCCTATGTGATTGATTGCAGTAGACATAATTTAAAAGAAAAGTTTGATATTACTTTATATGTCTTCATACAAAATATACAACTTTTGCAACTAAAATGTGCAAAGTGCTAAGCTTTGGCCAGCTTTTAAATACATTTAATTCAATTTTAAAATAAAACTTAAATAAAAAGCTTTTACATTTAGCTTTAAAGTGCTGTAGTCAGATCAAACAAACAATTATGCTAAATGTGGTTTAAGGAGTAGGCCTACTTCAGCTACCAGGTTGACTGTTGAAATGTGAACTCGACTGGGCACATTGAACTCCCTAAAAATATATACTAATTTCATAGAACCCTTGCGAAAATATTTTAAATAGATTTAAAAAAGCCACCGCTACTGGTAACATCTATGGTTAGATTGATTTGTTTACATCCAGTGAAGTCGTTCATAGGCGCGTAATTTGCGGGTATCTCCAGTTAACTAGCAGAGCATTCATTTAGGTCGCTATTAAATAAGAGACCTGTTGTTTTTGAAATCAAGCTGAGCGCTCGTGTCCGCTGCGATATACAGTGTTCTCTGTGGCTCGCGCAGTCTTCTCTCGGACGCACGCTTCAATCTATCCCCGTTGTGGAGACTCCGGTGAAATCTCAAAATAAAATGCACACAAACGTGATGAACATATTCGGTTTTGATGAGAGAGAGAAAAAACTATACGAGTGCGGTTCAGAACCCGTCACCTCTGACACGCTTGGCAAAAGATCTACAGAACTCAAACATAAGATCTGCGGATCGATGAATTTATTTACGGGTTGAGCAGAGTGGCTGCACAGTTTGACCAGCGGGCGGCAAGAACTTGCAATAACTATTTATCAGACCGGCCCTCGCAGCCTCGAAACCATAGAAACACTACCGGACCACCGGTAAAAGTCCCAACTCACCCGATTGCCACTCCGCCCCTGCACGCCATTAAAAAATATAGCCTATATGAATCGATTTTTGGAATTCTATTAATCGATTCTGAATCGGTAAAGATTGAATCGCGATTCAAATGTGAATCGATTTTTTTGCACACCCCTAGTGTACATAATGAAGAGAAGAAAACGGTTCGTGTTTGTGTTTCTTCTGGAAACAACGGACCATATGAGATTCTGCACAGTTCAGCGCACTTGGATCGGCGTTCGTAGATCGACTGGTAGAGACTATTTTTCAAAGATGGCTTCTTCCTGTATTCGCGAAGTTGACTGTGTGTATAAAATATCTGCTTATTAAACCGTATGGACACTGACAAAGTTCTCAATGCTTCGGTTTGAATGTAGGGACCCTTGTTATGCTATCCTGTTACTGTGGGGCTATTTTGAGCCTTGTTAGTCGTAATAACAAGCGATTTTTACTTGTCATTACTCTATGCCCTATATACTAGCATTATACTAGCGTTATAGGCTAAACTGTTTTTAGAGATAAAACTGTTTACATTCGGCAATCATGAAAACAAATCTCAGATAACGGTTGACTAGGTAGCAATGTGTAATTAGACCAAAGGTTCATTTTGCGCCGGAGTTGTCCTTTAAGTAAGACTGTGTCCTAACTACACGCGACGTGTCACAAAAGACGTGTTTTCCGTGTTAATCAGCGTGTTTGTCCTAGGCAGCCGCAATGGCGACACGCAACGAACCTATTTTAGAAGCGGATTTTTCTGCGATGTCGCGTTGGAACAACTAACACAAAGTGATAATCTCACATGTGCTTTATTTAATGCTAAAAGCGTGTAATGTGACTTTGAAACGCAACAATTCACCGCAGATCTTAAAATTAAACAAATGGAAACAAGAACGTTCAAACTGTCAACAAACAAGTGCATTCTTTGAGAAAGATTCTTGTAGTAACTCAGTAGCCTATGTATTTTTAATAATGTTTAAATTGTGTAATATTTGTGAATTTGATCATGTAAGCCTATATTTTCTTGCGAGTGTCGTCAAGATTACTTGCCGCAAGACTCCGCCCACACGCTCTTCTGATTGGCTGTAGGTTTGATTGATCTCATGATGTGGACAGACACATCCCAGACAGCAAACTGACATTGAATCAACGTGGAAACGACGTCTCTCATGACATTGAAACAACGTTGATTTTGCTCATCGAATTAACGTTGAACCAACGTCAGACGCGGCATTCTTCAAAGCTAAATGAAAATCGAAAATTGGTTTGCTTTCATAACGTTGAAACAACGCGTTGATTTCAAGTTGATTTTCCGTTAGTTTTGAAAGAATGACGCGTCTGACGTTGGTTCAACGTTAATTCGATGAGCAAAACAATGTCAGATCAACGTTGTTTCGATGTCATATTTCCACGTTGATTCAATGTCAGTTTGCTATCTGGGATTATTTGTTGCTGGAATCTTATCGCATCGCGTCTGGTTAGGACAAGGTATAAGGCCGCATACGTCATCACATAAAAATCTCCTTTCCTAATCAGCACTTGTTCTTTCTATCAATTTTCAGTTAAAACTCATGAAAATAATGTTGGACCAACACTAGTGGAATGAGTAAACTTCTGCTTTGCCAACTGAAGTTGACTGCACACAGTGAAATGATTTCTCTCACAAAAAGCCTGTTTTTCCACACGCCTGGCGTATGTTTTCAATGGGAGCGCCCTGAGCGTCTTTTACTGGTCGCCGAGAGTTGAAAAATGTTCACAAAACATTCACAGTGGAGGAGGGGCGGGGCTAAACTGTATAACGACATCAACCAGCAGAGCTGACCCAACAAAATGGATGAAAATTTAATTTTTAGTATGAAACAAATTACCTGCAAAATCAGTTACAAGTAAACTATGCTGCGGATATATATATATATATATATATATATATAAATGTTTCAACGAAAAATACGCTGCGCTGCCAAAACGCTCTCAAGTGCCCAAAGCACGGCGTCTTCAGCAGAGCGTCTGGCGTTTTCAGCTGGATAAAAGCGCTTTGGTGGACACACGGCCTAAGAATTGGTTAACTGGTTGAAGAGTGCTGGTGGTGCCTCAACTAAATTAGCGCTTTTGTTCGCTTGGCAGCCAAAGACAACAGAAACTGGTTTGGCACCGAAACCTCTTGCAGGAGCTCGAGTGCTCAAATGCTCTCTGAGAAAGAACTGCTGTTTGTACCCATCGGGGCTAAAGGCACATTTGACTTTATTCTCCTTTAAAGCACTAGATGGCACTCAAAGTCAGCTCAGCACTTTTCTTAAAACAAGATTTCACTTTTCTTAAACTTTAGTTATTGTGTCATGTTGCTGATTAAACATAAACAACATCTGCGAAGTTACAACTCTCAAAGTTTAAAGCAAAGGGATATATTTGCTTTTAAAGGAATCAATTTCTAAGAACTACAGCAAACGGCCGATAAGGACTACACGACATTCCTCCAGGGTTGCGGACGTCACTAACCCAATATTTACATAAACCCCTCCTCAGAGGAGAAGACTAAATAAAGTGGGCGAGTCCATGTTATATTGTTTGGAGAAGAGTTGCTGTGGTATAGTAGGCTGGAGTGTTGTTGCCGCAATGCCTTCGAAACGCTGTTTTAATTTCATCCTGATTGCAGGTCCGCTTTGTTCAGCCTTCCTGGGGACGGGGGAGTTAGGAATCAATGGTTACGTTTTATTTTTAACTCGGTCCCTCATAATTATTTCCCAAATCTCGCACGCGCTCTTCATTTTACGGAGGAAAGCTTCCACAATCTTTGCGAGTTCAATGCAGGATTCGCACATAGTTAAAGCCAATGTTTAGCGTTCATTTTGATAATTAATAGTTATTAGTTCTGGTGAACGATATTTGACAATCGTTCTAAAAACGGCACCATACAGTCAGTCATAACAGCGTATCTAAAAAGTATGACAACAACAAAAAACAAACTATTCTGAAACGTCGTTTAACAGCCATTCTTGAACAAGTTCTGCTCGATCATCTTCACTAACATTGGCTGGGTTCGATTCGGGCTCATATTGGTATGGTTTTATTGATGTCATAAAGGTAAGGCGTAACGTTTCCGAAAAACGTGCACCGGACGGTTAGCCAATCCAGAGCCATATAGAGAGATCTGAGCCACAACACACTGGGCCAGTGAACCAATCTGAGCCCATTGCGTATTTTGGAGGGACTGGATCCATAGATCCCGGAAACCATCCCACCGTTTTTTCAAGGAGGGACAGAGCAGTGTAGAATAAAGGTAATATATGAAAAATAATGACATGTAATTTTGTTCATGGTAAATAAAGCAACAGTTTTTCAATAAGAGAAGAATATGTAAATTATGGTATTTGGGGTGAAAGACAAGAAACAGCCGTCTGACTTTTCCATTTGTTGACATGACATGGTTAGACTCAAATGATAATTAACACACATTAAGTTTTGGGTGTCCACCTTAGAGATAATCACTATTTATAATGAAACTATAATATTTAAAAATATATATAATTTATAATAATAAATAATAAAATGTCATATTTATTGTTAACTGTAAAGCTACATTAAATTATTATGGGATCTCAATTTATTGCTTTCAGAACTTTTAATTTATAAAATAATTTTATTTCTGTATTTTTAATATGAACATATTTTAATGACAGTATATTTATTGTACAAAAAAAAAAGAATCAATTAATAAAAATAAACAGAAAACGTTGCTAAAGCACTTCTACTAGCCAAAATGAAAAACATCTGAAATAAGCCAGGTTATCTAAATCAAAGTTTAGACTGAAATATGCTTATTGTAAAATATCATTCTCAAAGACTGAATCACTTTTTTACATCAATCATCGTTTTGCAGATGAACCAGAAACAACATATGTTTATTTAGTTGTAAAGTCCAAATATAGCTCGCTCCAAAATGAATGTTTAACATCAGCAGACAGGCTGTCGGTTCATAAAGTGAGCTAACTTTATTTTCTTCAGTTGATGTCTATTATAAAAGGCCAAACCGTTCTCAATCATGATCCAAAATTTCTATGCCAGCATAACTGTAATAATCTCTAATGCTCAAAGTATTCAATTGTATTGAGCAGGGGAAAATTTAAGTATTCAAATTCCTTGAACCTATTTAACCTTGGTGAGTATTTCTAACTTTTTGTGTTTTTTTGATGATAAACTGACACATTTTAAGTAACCAGAATTGTTACTGGTTTGAGTTTAGTGAACTGTCTTCACTATCTTGGCTGGGGTTTAAAAGACACCTGATATTCAGTAATGTTATCGATCCGACAGCACTGGATGAGGAAAATCGAGCTGGATGTTGATATCACTGCTTTATAGATTAATCAAATTAATTTCACCACTGAACTGACTCAATCTCAAAAATGACACTGTTGTCTTCTGTAGAGCTGGAATTGTATCTAAACTTTGTGACGTTAATACGGCCGTTTTTCGTTTTTGTTAATTCTTGTACATTTTTGGCGTCTTCTGGGGATATTTTAACATCTATATTTGCTGTCCTTCTGAATCTCTCTTGAAATCCTTTTTTCCTGATCCTGAGCCTTGGCTAAATGTGACCAATGAGCAATCGCTAGTGGAACGAGCTGGGAAGAAGACAAACGCAAGGTTTCTTATGCAGTTATTTGGTGTTATCAGCATTTTGTTTAAGGGATTATCATTAAGGAACAAAAATCAATATATTCTCTTCAGCAATCCTATTGCTAGAGTTTATCCTCTCGCCACCCTTGAGACCTGTGAACAATGTCCTATATATAGAGTTTCATACAGTTTCTTTGACTCTTAGTATGAATTTGTTTGCCTTAAAGTTATCTATAAGATACTGTGCTCCAAAACAGACAAATCATTATATTTAATATATTTCTATAAAGCACGATAATAACAAAGCAGTGTTTATTTTACTCTGATACTTTATTCACATCTCACACATCTTGGATCTTCAATCAAAAGGCTTTTTTTTTTTTTGCAACGGGACGTTTTTTTATATAATGTATTTCTAATAAAAATACAAATGTGATATATTTCACCTTACAAGAAATGTGGACACAAAAATGGCTAAACAAAAAAATTTATGTATACAGCCATATTATATATTAAAGCACAGACTGTTTTTTTCTTTTTTTCAATCAATCTTTCTTTAATTTAATTAGCATCAAACAAACAGTATAATTATTGTCCACAGTGATAAAAAGACTGCTTGTAGATTGTTAAATAAATTAAATAATGATTGCACAGTAGGTGGCGGTATGCACTAAGAATGTAAATCAGCATTAAACAAAAGAAGAAGGAAGAAGAAGAGGTATGGCATCCGTTTGTCTGGTCTCCGAGTCTTATACTCCGGGCTGACCGAACTTATAGTTCTCCAGAACACAGTTTTGGAAACTGCATATCATGAGTTAGCAAGGTTTGGGTTAATCGCCTGAGAGTTCAGGCTATATGTGATGGTAAGCTAACTTTTTTCTGGAATACCTCCCAGATCACATTTTCTGCCCAATCAAACGCTCTCTAGAATCAGAAGTGTCCCGCTCCCTACATTATTGAAGATGCAGAGGCTGTGGCTCGATATGTCGTGTTCTGAACTCGCATTTCAGTGGTAATGACATCAGCACATTCAATAACTCGTAACTGTGTGCCTTTCAAGGGGCTTCAGACATTAGGAGTCTAAGTAACCTTTTCCATTACCTGGAAGACATCAAGTATTGGAAGGCATGTTGCTACTTTAACATGGACAAAAAATGTACTATGCCAAAGGGAACTTTACTGGATCCATACCTTGGACGCCTTACATCCTAAAGGTTTAAATGTGGACTTTGACATGAGTGTCATGCTTTAGTCATAGCTGTATTGATTTTTTGTTCCTTCTTTAAGTCTTGAATACTGCAGTTTATGACGGTGTTTCTGATGTTTTTGCAGTCTCCATGTACTTATATTGTAAGCAGGAATGAATGTGTGGGTATATTTGTATATGTACCTATATTTGTGTATACTTTTTGTATATATTCACGTCTGTTTCTTGTATTTTTCACTTTTTCACTTCTTCACTTAAGTGAAGTTAGGGTTGATCACCTTAAAAAACTACAACTCCCACCAGTGGACTACAACTGTCCCTACATAGCCTCTGCAGGTGTGGGTTATCACTGTTGATTGTCCTAGTTGAACATAGTCAAATGGAAGGTAACATTTTGTTTGTGTATGCCCTGAGGATGGTTGTATCACCGAAAGCTTGGCATTAAATTTGGCTTGAAGGACTCAAGTGTGCAGACAATTTGTTCTTTTGGTTGTCAAGTGTTATCTGTCTGGCACCTTGTTTGCCGTGAGTGCGGTGAAACTCTTTCACATAACATGGACAAAAAATGTAAAAGATCTTGGTGTTGTTTTTCAACCATCAACAAAACGCAAACACATTTAGTCATAAAGGATCTGAAAAAGTGGCCCATGCTTTAATTTAGTTTGTGCAATACAGTGATACTTTATCAGCTGCGCAAAGAACCTCCAACACAATTGTTTTACTCATGCTTTTGTTTTCAGTTTTCATTTAGTTTTAGATTTCAAAACTCCCTTCGTTATTATCATTTTGCACCCATGGTTTGAGTTCTGTAGACATGTTTGTTGTGCTAGACTCACCTGAGTGTTGCGGTCTGTGAGTAAGACCTGCAAGTGGTTGAAGCCGTACGTGGGTCCTGGCGAGATCAGCAGAATAGTGCAGGTGCTCAGGTGAAACTCAGGCAAGGTGTCAGCACTGCGTAAGAAGTCCTCCGTCTTCAGCTCCTCCACCCTCTTCAGATGGCCACCAGCCAGCTCGATCAGTGAACCTTTGGCAAAATGAGGTAGGACCGCAGAAGGGGGCGGGTCAGGGCCAGTGAGCACAGCGACGGGAGGGCGGTAGGACCCTGCAGAGGCGTCCCATTCTGTCTCCATCCCATGGCTGTTCTGGTGGCTTTGCAGGGAGTACTGAGAATTCCTTGGGGAACAGGACACAGAAGGACTCAGTTGTGGATATGCTTGAGGGTTCTGGTGAGCAGAAGGGCAAAGGGACCCCAGAGCATAATAAATCTGAGCTCCAGCCTGAGAGGCACTAACACCAAAATGGTCCTGAGAAGTGACGGTCTTTCCTGTCTTTGCGTCTGACGAGGGGGGCATTGGAGCTTTGGGTGTTCCCCGGCTGTCCCTGTCCCATGAGGAATGTGCAGTTGTGTTCTCTCGTGGCAGAAGGGTCTGTCTTGTTGTATTGTCCTGTCTTCTCCTGCCATTGGCATGTGTACCATCCAACCTGCTCGCATTGTCGTTCCCACAGTCATCGCAAGAGGGCACTCTCCTGCTAGGCCTGCTGTCTGGGCTATCAACACCATTGGGCCGTCTGCCTTGGTACCTGAGTCTGCTGTCAGGGAGGGGGTCGTGGGGATACGCCGTAGGCTGTGGAAAGAGATTGGGGGAGAAGAGAGACGAGCTGTAGTCTCGCCGACTGGGGCCGTAGGACCACATTTCCCTGGACTCGGCTGTGTAGACGCTTTTGAACGTGGGCATAGAGATGAGTGGTTGCACACTGATGGGGGGGTTGTCACTGCTCAGCCAGCGAGAGTGGTGGGGAATGGTATGCTCCAGTCCCCCATCCATACCCCGTCCACACAACGTTTCTCTCCAGGGTGCCGAAGATGACCCTCGCCGCTCTCCCACCTGGACCGGCAGGTACGAGTGATGCATGCCAGGGGTGTAGGACACGTGCCAAGGCAACGACAGAGAATAAGGGGGCAGCATGGGGGGAGCGGGCGGTAGAAGATCCCCACTCTCTCTGTGACCCTCGGTGGAGTGATGCTGCCGTCGGCTTCGGAAAGGGGCAGGGGGTTTGAAGTCATCCTCCGGAGCCGGTTGATCTGACGAGCCCTGTCGGGACTCCCGCTTTTTTGGGGGGAGACACTCCTTGCTGCGGTCTGGGCTTGGATTCATGTGACAATCCCCCGGGCCTTCTGGGCCACACTAGGTTACATGGGCTGGGGAAAACAAGGGGCTAGGAGAGATCAGTTTTCTCCTGCTGATCAGCATCACGCACACAACGTGTCACTCACGGCCACGGCCAGAACTCCCACTCACCTGAGAGGAGAAAGTGCAAGAAAAAATTACGTTACTGACCTCTTGCTTGGCACACGACAAAAACATCAATGCAGGCCCTTAATACAGTATTTTGCAAGTTTAAAATCTACATCCTAGCATATTGACCACATATTTAGTTTTAGTACAAGATTAAGTTCATTTTAAAGAGTTGTTCATACACTTGCTGTGGCATTTACAGGGGTTGGACAATGAAACTGAAACACTGGCCAGTGTTGGAGGTTTCACATCTATATGCCTGGCGCCCAATCTTCAGAGTGAAGCACGGGTGGATCAGTGATGGTTTGAGCTCCAATATCATGACAATCCTGATTGTATTTGATGGACACGACACTGCCGAGGACTACCAAACCCTTCTGGAGGATCATGAGCACCTGATGCTCAAACCGCTCAAACCGCAAGATCATGCACCAACACACACAGCAAGACTTGTGACAGAAGGGTTTGATGAAGATTGAACATCTCCCATGGTCTGACAGTCACCAGATCTGAATATTATTGAGGTGTTTTGGAGGAGCGAGTCCACCAGCATCATATAGTGACCTGGACACTGTTCTGGAAGAGGAACGGCTCATAATCCCTCTGGTCACTGTGAAGGACTTCTATCTGTCAATTGGTGCTGTATTTGGATGCAAAATGAGGCCCTCACCATTCTAACAAATTATTGTGTTGTAAAACCAGGTGTTTCAGTTTCATTGTCCAACCCCGTGTATATATGATTATCTTCTCTTCTGTAGAACATCGGTTTTGTGGGCTTTTTAGTGGGAGCAATAAATTGGACGACTGAGACCTAAATAAAACATCCATATGGTTATCACTATATTGCTGTTGAGGTACCAACAAACAAACTAAACATATACTGATACACAAACGCTCGAGAAACATTTTCTCACCCACACACATACCGATATGGCAAGAGACTACGGTTCTTAAATAGGATGCCTCTGCTCATTAAACTGTGATGGGAATCTCCAGACTTATTCCAGAATTGTTCAATAACTGCTACTGTAGTGATAGGATAAACTACCTCATGATTGAAGTTCACTGTGGGATATGCAGGATCCAAGAACACACACCAAAAAACCGAGGCTCCTTAAAGCAGTAAAATATGCTTGTTTCAGTCACACCTTCCTGTGGGGCAGTGTCTCTAATGTCAATCCAACACTCCTTAGACACTTCTATTTTACTGCGGTGCGCTGCCAGCACATCTGGTCTCTTTCTCAACGCCTGTCTACCACACTGTCTGTATGCACTGAACCCGATACCCTGCTGCTGTTTCCATGGAAACTGAGTCCATACATCTACAGTGACCAAAGAAGGCTAAGAGGACTATATAGGGATTCTCTCGGAAAATGTAGGCCGTCAAACTGTTCAGAACTTACATCACATCAGATCAAGCTGCTGAAATAAGTTTAAAGGGGTGATGAACTGAGAAATCAAAATTTCCTTGAGCTTTTGACATCTAAGAGGTCATCATATTATAAGAATATCCTGTAAGTTTCAGAACTGAAAACGTCCTTGTTAGTCCAATAAAAGCTTTTATTGACACCAGCCTCAAGAAAACGACTCGTTTTTCAAAGTGGGGAACTATGACGTCAAAGAGGATAAAACCCCACCCCCGCAGAAGAAGATCAACGCCTACTTCAACACGGCCGGTTTAGCCCCGCCCACCGATTCGCGCATTACACGCATAGCTAAATAACATAGATGCCTACCTCGTGATGACAAACCGGATCGATCTACCGAGCGATACAGAATATAGTGCAGTGCCTGGTTGTGGAAGAAGACAGTTGATCTATAAGCTTCCTCTGGATTCCTATAGGACTGCATGGATAAACTTTATTTTTAATGACGTTCCAGCTGATGAGGTAAAACATCGTCCGTCTGTTCGCTTCATTTCTCTGAGGATTGTTTTGTAAACAAGACTGGATTTGCAGAGCGATTAAGAGTAAAGAACGGTGCTGTGCCGTCTGTATTGGATCTGACAGGAATGGTGCAACACACGGACTCTGGGTCGAACATGTATGGGTGAATCCGGTTGCCATTTGACAACATTGGACGTTTCAAAACAATTTCCCCCAAGAGCATCGACGGGTGAGTCGAAACTCATTATAATATGCAAAACTGTTCTCCACTCACAGCAGTGGGCGTTTACTTCCAAGTCTTCAGTGCGAGACGCCCATAAAAACCGAGCGTTTTTGAGCTAGGCTCAAAACTAGACTATTACTGATTCAATATTAATGCAAAAACCAAGCGAACGTCATAATTTGACCTCAGACAACAGTTCATGGCCCCTTTAAGAGAAGTTTGTGCAGTCTGAGCGTTGACATTAGATGGAGACCATTTATGATTATTTTCACAACTCTCAAGTTATAGTGCAATTTGTTGAGAAAAAAATTACTTGAATAATAAATGTGTTAGTAAGTTTTTCATAAGAAAAAAAATGTTCAGCTGTGCTTACAAATGCTTTGTTTTTTATAGTGTTTAAACATTTTTTATGCATCATTGGTACTGTACTAGTATGTAAAGTAATTAAATAACACATCATGTTTGTTATATCTCTGAATGCTGCACATTTGAACACATTTTCAAGATGAAGTAGAGAAATCCTGAATTAGACATAATCATGTTACTCCAGCAGACATTTAAATATTAAAATAATAAAAATATAGGTTTAGAAGCATATTTTGTGGTTTTGTGGAAAGCTTGGAAAATAGAAGAGCTAGACTGGTATTTTTGCAAGCTTGTACTTTATTATCTCTAGGTGGAGTAAAATTGAAAAAATTACATAACACAGCTGTAACATGCCACGATTATTACCCTAAACATTCAGTTTTTGAAAGTCGGGTACAAATCCATTTTACACCTTGTATCCCTGCAAATCGTTTTTACACACCTGATGTTGTGTTAGATTAAATCTCTCTAACATGATGTTTTTGGATCATGAACAATACTCTAAAAAATTTATACATTTAGAAAGCTTTAAAAAAAATCAGAGTAGAAAACAGGACAAGTACTGACAGAATCAAAATGACAAACATAATATTCTTTAAGAGGAGCTTTCTAATAGCATTTAACTAATTACCTGCCAGATTAACACACTGTCCTAACAGACCATTTTTGTCATTTATAAGACTGGATTTCATGGCGACTGACATTTATTACACTTCACTGTCACAAAGAACATTGTGTTTATTTTGTCACAGTATATTCATTTTCACTAGTTTAAGTCTCACTAATTTTTATGTTAACTCATGTCCCACTGTTCTAGTGCAATTTGTGCAGTATAAACTAGTGGAAAAACTGAGAACCAGTCATCATCGATGACTTACTAAAAACAACCTTAAAAAGGGGTTCTCCAGAGGAACCTAAAAAAAACAATAAATACTAAATAATTAGAAAGTAAACTATGACTTTTATGTAAAAAAAGAAAGAATGAAAACCACAGATTTCAGAAAAACTACTTCTAAGCATGTCACAAGCACACATCAATAGTGTTAATGACTTGAAAAGCACTGCTGACCTGATGCGACTGACCTTGATGGGGTGTGCGGAGCAGATATCCGTGTGACGCCACTGACTCCTGCAGTCCATCACACCTGCATCTCTTTCACACACACACACACACACACACACACGCCACTAAGGCAACACTGTCTACAAATCTACAGGCAAATTGTGGTGTCACACCATGTTGAAAGGGCTGCACGGCTGACTGTGAAAAAGTGTGAGAGTTTGCGCGCGTGTGTGTGTGTGTGTGTGTGTGTGTGCATGTACACAAGGCTAAGGAAATGAGTAATATCGTGCAGTGTGAGGCATGTCTGCTGTGCAACAACACACAGGCAGACCAGTTGCTGCTGTCGCCCACTCGCCTTACTCACTGTGAAAGGGATAAACACACACACATGCAGTAACAGACGGGTAATTACACACACTCCTACTCATCCTATCGCTCTCAAACACACACTCTCAGCTCTGAGCATATGCATTTACATACGTGATAAGAATGTAGATAGATAGTGATATATGCTCTGGTTTCAAGCACATCAATGCACTGTTTTAGAAGACTTTCTGAGCATAAATAAATGACATTATACTACTGTGCAAGCACTAGCTGTTTCATAAAGTCACCATTGTGCTGATTAGTTCCTTTTGGGTGAGAATTTGGATACTGTTAATGACCACACAACACATCTGGTTCATTGCCTCCATACTACATAACTGAAGTTTAATAAGCGAGTGTGAAAATAACCAGGTAACTGAAGTTTTCTAAGCCTCATGTTAACATGAATTTCTGTCAAACAGTGAGAGATATTTGGTAGCCTCACACACTGAAAACCTACTGGATTCAAATCCTGGATTGAATTGTATTGTGGAAGCTGAGAAAGGTGTATGTAACCCTAGTTCCCGGAGTGTTAATGAGAGATTCAAATAGCGAAGACAACCCAAACCCCAGGCTAGCCGATGAGACATCCTCTGCTTGAAGACCGCATAACCTCTGTTTTAATCCACCAAAGCAAAAAGCTCGTCTGACTACACTACACTTCTAATGTCGTACCTGCACAGAAAAAGTGCTGTGCGGTGGGCAGATACAAATATAAAAAGTATTATAGTAAATATAGTAAAGTATAGTATTATAGTCAATATAAAAATGAATTGCCGTGTTCAGGTCACCCAGCTATAGGGTGAATATGTTTTAAATATTTCATGAGTCAAATATGCAGTACTAAAGAGCTCAATACTAGAGGCATGGCTTAAAGGGGTCATATGATGCCATTTTTGTAGTCTGGGAAAACCCAGACAACTTCCGGCAAATTTAGATTTGCTCTGAAAGTTAGCCTGCCAAAGAGCTCATTCAAGCCCATTTCCAATCCGCAGAAATCACGGCGACGCTGAAGCAGATTTTGTACATTCACAAAGTGGTGTGACGGTTACTTGAACACCGTCATTAGAACTCTATAAACGCCAAAACCATGTTACTA